AGGAGGAGAGGAGAGGGGGAAAAAGGAGGAGAGGAGAGGGAGAGGAGGAGAGGGAGAGGCTGGTAGACTGTCAGTGTCAGAGCAGCAGGGGGAAACATTTTACCAACATATAATACAGGGAAAAAATGACCATGTGCCATTGCCATGGAGACCAAAGATTTAAGATTGTCAAAGTCAATTATGGAAGTAATTTACCAAGATGGCATATCATGACTGATAACGTATTATCATATTAATAATACAAATTGTCTTAAATGTACTTTAATATGAAAATACCTTCTCAGTTGGTCAAAACTGGTTGACTTCAACCAGTTTTACCTACTGGGTTAGCTGTAAAGATGAGCGCGTATTTAGATCTCATTTCAAGGCCCCCCCTTTTAATCAAACCAGGTACCTGGGTTTTCAGGATAAAGTCAAACACACAATAATGCAACAACGCATATATGGATTAATGTAATTAAAACAATGTTCTTTTTTTGTTGCAGTGAGCGAATAAAGCTGTTTAAGACTAAGTCCTATAAAGCAGCATAGCAGTTTTGATAGAACAAAGCCTTTAAAAGGTCTTTCTCCAGTCCAACTGCAGTTCCCAAAAATAAAAGACGAGAGTAGTGATTAGTGATTCTCCAGGTCTCGCTCTCCTTCGTTCAGTAGCAGAGGAGAGGAGAAGAGCGTGTAGTGATTAGTGATTCTCCAGCTCTCTCTCTCTCTCTCTAAGCCCTTCGTGTTCCTTAATGGCCGTGTGACAGCCTGAGAAAGCATTTGTTTCTCCAAATCCCTCTCTTTTAACAAGAAGTTGCTGATACGGCGCTCACCATGCTGTTCAAAACACCAAATGGCACCCTTTTTCCCTTTATAGTGCTCTAATTTTGTATTTATATATATATTTATATATATTTATAGGGTGTAAAAGGGTACCATTTGGGATGCAGTCCAAGCCTTTATCTTGGCACCAGAGTTAAAGAACGACTCCATTACAGAACACTTAATAATACAACCGTGGAACATTTTTCCCAACCCCATTCAGATCAATAGAGCAGGAAACGAGAGAAGGAAAAAAAAAAAAAACATCTCCACGCTTTGTGTAACTTTCATTATCTCCTCAAACCAAAAAGAACCATTGAGAATCAATACGCACTATATACAGTGGATATCATTAGTATTCACCCCCCTTGAATGTTTTCACATTATGTTGTGTTACAAAGTGGGATTGAAATAGATTTAATTGTGATTTTTTTTTGTGTGTCATTGATCTACACAAAATACTACATCATGTCAAAGTGAATAAAAAAATAATCTAAACATTTGTACAAATTAATAACAATTAAATAACTAAAATATAGTCGTTGCATAATGATTCACGACCCTTTGTTAAGGCAGGACTAAATTAGTTCAGGAGTAACATTTGGCTTAACAAAAAACACAAGTTACATGGATTCACTCTGTGTGAAATAATAGGGGTTGACATGACTAGACTACTCCTTCCTCTGTCCCCCATACATTCAACATCTGTAAGGTTTCTCTGTCAAGTGTTGAATTTCAAGCACAGATTCAACTACAAAGACCAGGACGTTTTTCTAAAGCCTCATAAGAAGGGCTGTGATTGGTAGATGGGTAACAATAACACATCAGACATTGAATATCTCTTTAAGCATGGTCAAGTTAATAATTATGCTGTGGATGATGTATTAAACCACCCAGACACATCAAAGATGCAGTCGTCCTTCTGAACTGAGCTGCAGGAGAGGAAGGAAACTGCTCAGGGATGTCACCATGAGGACATTGGTGATTTTAAAACAGCTTCAATGGCTGTGATGGTAGAAAACTGAGGATGGATCCAAACATTGTAGTGACTCCACAATAATGACTTAAATGATAGAGGGAAATGTCCAAGAGACATGTTTCTGAAAAGCAAAAAATATTGCAGTTTCCGAGAGTCCCGTTGGTAGCAAATCTGCCATCGGAGGTCATCCATCGTATTATCAAGTGACGGTACGTTAGCCAGTAGAATGGTGGGAAGAGGTGGCTGGTTTTCCCTTCGCCTTAAACTCACCAGGATGCCCACTCTCTTGCCTCTGTGACGCCGGCGTTTCCTCTTGTGTAGCTCGAAAATTGGGTTGGAATTACAAAGAGAGAGAGTCGAAGTAGAAGCTGGAATTGGGGTAAGTAACTGCTGATCTGATGTTCAAGAGTTCTTTTCGGTTGTAAGAAATAATAGCGGATTCATTTCGTGAAAACAGAGTAAAAATGAACGACAAAATAATCACAAAATAGCAAAGTCGGGTCGGAGCTTGCAAAACGGCAGCCATACAGTACAGGGCTATCTAGGAGACTTACCCAGAAAGACTCACAGCTGTAATCGCTGCCAAAGGTGATTCTAACATGTATTGACACAAGTGGTTGAACACTTATCTAATCAAGGTAAATTAGTGTTTTATTTTTCATGAATCTTATTTTATTTTTATTTTTTTCATTAAAGAGTATTTTGTGTAGATCATGAAAATAATTTCACTAAAAATAAAACATTTTAATCCCACTTTGTAACAATAAAATGTGAAGAAATCCAACAGGGGTGAAAACGTATGATAGGCATTGTATCGGAGACAGCCGCAAATAAAGAAATATCCTCTGATTCTGTGTAATAAAACGAAACGGCCCTTGTGCAAAAAATATATATACATTACATTTTTGTATTGTCTATATTTTTTATTCTGTTTGTTTTGTTAAGCAATTTCAAGTTTGAAGTTTTAAAATGTCACGTGCACACAAGTACAGTGAAATGCCTTTCTTGCAAGCTCTAAACTCAACAATGCAGTAATCAATATCAATACAGTACTAAAAATAACATACGGTGCAGCCAGTAAAATATACACAAGTGGTCTTTGGATTGACACGTCAGCGTCTTAACTCACACATATTACATCGTGAAGTGCTGCACAGTTACTGAATGGTTTAGAGGGGGGGAAAGGGCTGACACTATTAGCATATGAATGAGCGGGAGGGTCCTTATGGCCAGAGTGTCTGAACAATGTGAGGATGACACAGCGATTTAGCAGGTCACTACACTACTTCCTCTCAATTAGAATATGGTGTGACAATGGCCCCAGGGCTCTGAGAACTAATGGTGGGCACGTGTGTGTGTGTGTGTGTGTTTGTTCAACTGGCCTTTGTGCCATCTGTATGGAGACCAGTATGCATGCATGTACATTTGTGTGCGTATGGGTGTGCGTGCGTGCGTTGACAGATCCCCCCCCCCGTAACACAGTTGGAGGTTAGCGGGATCGTCGTTAGTTAAGAATGTTGTTCATACATATGCAATAAACCTTATTATAATACAACAACAAATACCTGTGTAGCAGGGCCATGATTAGTCCATATGTTGACCAATCGCCACACAGACTACTAAGTTCCCACAATTAAAGCTGCAGTATGTAGCTTTCTGGGCGACCCGACCATATTCACATAGAAATGTGTGTTATAGATCTGTCATTGTCATTGAAAGCAGGTCTAAGAAGCGGTAGATCTGTTCTATGTGCACTATTTCTATGCTTCCCATTCTTAAGTTTAGCTTTTGCGTCTTTTACTTTCGGTTTTGTCCACCTGCTTCAAACAGCTGAGAACGCAATATTTTTGGTTATGGAAAATATATTTCACAGCGGTTTAGATGGTACAATGATTCTCTACACTATAGTTGCGTGTCACATTAACTGAAATTAGGCGAACTATTAGATTTTTAGCAACCAGGAAATGGCGGAGCGATTTCTGCATAGTGCATCTTTACATAAAGGTTCAATCTGCCCTCTGCATGTAAAAAAAATATAAAAAAATTAATAAGAAATAGATAGATATGTAATATGAAAATATGTACATGCTATTAAAGAGCAAATAATTTTATTTTTGGTTTATCTTCCTTTTTTATTAATTGGGAGTATCAAATGTGTTTAATTTATGCTATTAAGACATTGACTGATCCATAGTCATGGGGCACAATATTATTCCATACATGGGCACACCACCCAAGCTGACATGGATCACCACCCAAGCTGACATGGGCACACCACCCAAGCTGACATGGGCACACCACCCAAGCTGACATGGGCACACCACCCAATATTATTCCATACATGGGCACACCACCCAATATTATTCCATACATGGGCACACCACCCAAACTGACATGGGCACACCACCCAAACTGACATGGGCACACCACCCAAGCTGACATGGGCACACCACCCAATATTATTCCATACATGGGCACACCACCCAAGCTGACATGGATCACCTAGCTCAAGGCTAGGTACAGTTGAAGTCGGGCTCAAACACCAGGGTTGGAGTCAACTCGAATTGAAGTCAGTAAATTCAGGAAGTGTTTTAAATTCAAAAATGCACAACTTAACATAATTTGCTTATTATCCTTTTCAGTTTTTGAGAAATCATTGAAAGTAGATGGCATTTTTATCAATGATTGAATAGAAATGTCAGTTTACTTCCTGAATTGACCCCAACGCGGTAGAACAGGTTAGCTGCACTGTAAATGTACTACATTGTAGACTGTCTGTGGCCCCTTAGTTTACTCCTGTGGGGAATGACTATCTGAGGTACTCCAGGGATGTGTCTCAAATGACATTATATTCCCTACATAGTGCACTACTTTTGACCAGAGTCCATACCTATTCCCTATATAGTACACTACTTTTGACCAGAGTCCATACCTGTTCCCTATATAGTACACTACTTTTGACCAGAGTCCATACCTGTTGCCTATATAGTACACTACTTTTGACCAGAGTAGAGCACTATATAGGGAATATGGTGCATTAGGGACTCACACTAAGATTGACGGCCCAGGAGGAGGCTTCTCCTAGATCTCTGAGGTTCACATCGCCTGCTGCCTGCCCTGTACATCAGTGGTTCTCCTAGCGCTGACCCGAGGGTACTGCCCTGTACATCAGTGGTTCTCCTAGCGCTGACCCGAGGGTAAACTGCATTTTAAAGTTACCTTGTTTGATCTGTCCCTGCACAGCCGGGCTGGAGACCTGGGGGGGTGCTGCAGTCTTTTTGGGCGTCTCAGGGGTCCCGGGTCTAGGAGGCCTGGAGAACAGAACAACACAAAGACACCATCAAATATTTAGCAGACAGAGAAGCTTGAAAATGTTGTGTCCATGTGCTGTGTTGAAACAACAAGCTTAGTAGTGGGGCCGTGTGTGTGTGTGTGTATGTGTGTGTAAACAGAGAGAGAGGTTATGAACAACAAATCATCACTATACAAAACATCCTCAATTCCCATTTTCATTCAGGGTAACTAAAGGTTCAGATGTGGCCTGTTCTGTTCTATCTAGTTGTTGAAAGGCCCAAGGCTTTTTTTCTCAGCCCACAATGTTAAAGGAAGGAGCCTCATCATTACTGCCTATAACACCTGTAGCTCTCCCCCAACTGCAGCGCTCCTCCCACCAGGGTTTCATCCCGTCCTGACTAAATCACCTGGGCCAAATACACAGTAACACGTATTATCAGAGGCTGTATTAACAGGTTGCTCAGACCTCCACTGGGATCTTTACAGCTCCTTACAGTAAGTGTTCCATTTTGCTGACTGCACCCTGTTGCATTGGGACTAATGAAGGGAATGAACAGTAGAACGGTTCTCTCTCGTTAGCTGAAGCTAAAAGTTGACCACATGTGCTGTACCGGGATCTAACACTAATAGGCTGCCTGTGACCCTTGGATGTTACAAAATCCTGATCTGGAGGGAAAAGTTCTAACATTTTATCTGACAAACTAGTTGCTCTCTCAGGAGAGTGAAGACAAAGTAAAGTTAGTGAGAGAGAAGTTTAGCCAGAGAGAGAAGTCTGTGGCCTTTACTAAATGTCACAGACCTCCAGAGAGAGAGGTCTGTGGCCTTTACTAAATGTCACAGACCTCCAGAGAGAGAAGTCTGTAGCCTTTACTAAATGTCACAGACCTCCAGAGAGAGGTCTGTAGAAAGAGAGTGGTGATGTTGATGTGAATCTTCTTTCAGTCCTCCCTACCCCAGTTAGGTCCAGCAATGAGATGTCCACTGTGGGTCCTTATAAAGTATCATGACAGTGAAACTGTCAACAATATCCTATCACAGAGAACTGCACCGTCAATACTGAAGTACGTATTTTTTGTTTAGAATCGGATCGCTTTATTTAATGGATCTATTTTATGACCTTTAGTTTGATCCCAGTTGACTCTTTTCCTTAAGCCTCCGAGGTTAGATGCCTGTAGTAAACAGCCAATGGTAGTCTATCTGACCAACCTGAGGCGGACTTCCTATTCATCACGGCACGGACACATTTCTTCAGCTACTTGGAGTCTGGATAGAAACAGGATAGGAACCCTTTAGCGTGATCAGGGCATATTGTTCCAGTAGGCTTGTACAACGCTTCGCTAGGAGCGAGCTGCACAATACTTCTAACAGATCATTGATTTCATTAAGGGCCCATCCACTGTTTATCACACAAAGGCCAGGCCAGGCCAGACAGACACGGGTATGTATCCCAAATGGCACCCTATTCCCTATTTAGTGCACTACTTTTGACCAGGGCCCATAGGACTCTGTTCAAAAGAAGTGTACTACGTAGGGAATAGGGTGCCATTTGTGACGCAGCCTGGGAAATGCACTCCTCTTTAACTCAGAGCATCTTACCCAGTGTAAACACCTGATACAGGAAACACACACACGCAACTAGTAGGGTGGAAAGTACATACAAAGCTGAGCTGTTAACCCCTGTAAATCCCTGGGGATTGGCCAATATGGAAAGCATATACATAACTAAGGTAGCAATTACAATTGAAACAGATTATGGGAAAATTCTTAGTCTAAAAGGTGAGGACAGTTCACCCGACAACACTGAATCCAAGCATTACACAGTTGATTTTATGTGCATTTTACATTTACCGTACTTTTCCGCCCGCATTTGTTGATAACGAATACTGAAAATACTCTGGAAACATTCAGTAACATGATAAGAATATTCTTAGAAAATTTGGGGTAGGTGCAACATTAGGACAACAACAAAAATGTCAAGTGAGAGGTCTAACTGGTGTTTCCAAGTGGCCACAAACCTCTCAAACCAGAGTCTCCAACTAGAAGGGGATTTGTTGTTAGCTCTCCTAGCTGTGAGGTTGAGGAACTAGATCAAGGACCCTTGTAGTTGTTTGGAACACAGCCCTGCATCCCCGTCTTTACACAATTACTGTTGTTGTTTAGGCCAGGGGTTCGACATGTACGTGTTCGTGAGAGTCTCACTTTTCCACAGAGCGGTCACAACAATGTCTAGCCCAAACGGTTGTGTACCAGGCCTCTACTAAGATACGATTTTTGAGAGAAAAACGATTTTCGGGCTGTCTCATGGTCTGACAAACGCCGCTCTAGCTCCGTCAACTTTTCACCGCAGATGCTGAAGTGCCACATCGGCGGATGCGGTGGATTGAGACGCATCCAATGCAGAAAACAGATATCTCTAGCTTAAACGGATTAGACTTCAGAGGGGGCGCAGACATCAACTTTAGGGGATTCATCTGTTGTTGTTAGTAATATTCATAAAAATTATAAAAATAAGTACACATGCATATGGATACTGCAGTACCTCCACAGTCCCCCAGGTGGCTGCTGAGATTTGATAATAATAATAATAATATAATATGCCATTTAGCAGACGCTATTATCCAAAGCGACTTACAGTCATGCGTGCATACATTTTTTGTGCATGGGTGGTCCCGGGGATCGAACCACACTACCATTGGCGTTACAAAAGCCGTGTCTACTAACATGAGCTACGAGGACCACGTATGACCAGGTACCATTACTATGTGTACTGAGATTATTTATTTAGTGTACTAGGCGTACTGAGATATATGTGTACTAGGCATACTGAGATATTATGTGTACTAGGCGTACTGAGATATTATGTGTACTAGGCGTACTGAGATATGTGTACTAGGTCTCCTGAGATATTATGTGTACTAGGCGTACTGAGATATTATGTGTACTAGGTCTACTGAGATATGATGTGTACTAGGTCTACTGAGATATTATGTGTACTAGGTCTACTGAGATATTATGTGTACTAGGTCTACTGAGATATTATGTGTACTAGGTCCTACTGAGATATTATGTGTACTAGGTCTACTGAGATATGATGTGTACTAGGTCTACTGAGATATTATGTGTACTAGGTCCTACTGAGATATTATGTGTACTAGGCCTACTGAGATATATGTGTACTAGGTCCTACTGAGATAATTATGTGTACTAGGTCTACTGAGATATTATGTGTACTAGGTCTACTGAGATATTATGTGTACTAGGCCTACTGAGATATTATGTGTACTAGGCGTACTGAGATATTATGTGTACTAGGCGTACTGAGATATTATGTGTACAGGCCTACTGAATATTATGGTGTACTAGGTCTACTGAGATATTATGTGTACTAGGCGTACTGAGATATTATGTGTACTAGGTCCCTACTGAGATATTATGTGTACTAGGTCTACTGAGATATTATGTGTACTAGGAGGTCTACTGAGGATATTTAATGTGTACTAGGTCTACTGAGAATATTATGTGTACTAGGTCTACTGAGATATTATGTGTACTAGGCGTACTGAGATATTATGTGTACTAGGTCTACTGAGAATTATGTGTATCTAGCGTACTGATATATGTGTACTAGGCCTACTGAGATATTATGTGTACTAGGCCTACTGAGATATTATGTGTACTAGGTCTACTGAGATATTATGTGTACTAGGTCTACTGAGATATTATGTGTACTAGGTCTACTGAGATATTATGTGTACTAGGCGTACTGAGATATTATGTGTACTAGGCGTACTGAGATATTATGTGTACTAGGTCCTACTGAGATATTATGTGTACTAGGTCTACTGAGATATTATGTGTACTAGGCGTACTGAGATATTATGTGTACTAGGCGTACTGAGATATTATGTGTACTAGGTCTACTGAGATATTATGTGTACTAGGTCTACTGAGATATTATGTGTACTAGGTCTACTGAGATATTATGTGTACTAGGTCGTACTGAGATATTATGTGTACTAGGCCTACTGAGATATTATGTGTACTAGGCGTACTGAGATATGATGTGTACTAGGTCGTACTGAGATATTAGTGGACTAGGTCGACTGAGAATTATGGTACTATGGTCTACTGAGATTGATGTGTACTAGGTCTACTGAGATATTATGTGGTACTAGGCGTACTGAGATATGATGTGTACTAGGCGTACTGAGATATTATGTGTACTAGGCGTACTGAGATATTATGTGTACTAGGTCTACTGAGATATTATGTGTACTAAGTCTACTGAGATATTATGTGTACTAGGTCTACTGAGATATGATGTGTACTAGGTCTCCTGAGATATGATGTGTACCAGGTCTACTGAGATATGATGTGTACTAGGTCTACTGAGATATGATGTGTACTAGGCGTACTGAGATATTATGTGTACTAGGCCTACTGAGATATGATGTGTACTAGGTCTATTGAGATGTGTACTAGTCCTGCTGATGCACAACGAGAGTTCATTCATTTGAAGTAACACATGTCAGAGCGTTGTTCTAAAAGCTTCTCTTTTACATGAATTAGGCCTAAACTGGGGGTTAATGGTAATACATTGTTTCTTGACATTCTTCTTTATTTTAAACTAGCCAGGAAGAAATATATTCTAGAACACTGTCATAAATCTAAGATGGTCACATGAAAAAGACAACGTTTTGAAATATTGAGGACTGGCTTGGAGCATCTATACGGCTAGAAGACTAGATGAGAGGAAGTCTGTCCGTCCATCTGTCCTCCCTTCTTTTCTATGAGCCATGTCTGTCCGTCCGCCTGCTCCCCTGTTTTATGTACGAAAACAATACAAAACACATCAAGAGGCAGTCGATAGACTTCATGAAATTGTCATCCTGTATCTAGCGTTTCAGCAACAGCATGTTGTTAAATCATTCAGCTCCCTACGAGACCAAGCGGAGGAAGTTCTAACAACCAGACCACCTCCTCCCCTGTCTCTGCTCTCTGCTCTGTGTACAAACTAAGGCCGAACAACATCTCAATACTAACCAGGCAATCATCCCCAGTTCCAGCAACGCCACACCGGGCCAGGGGCCACAGCGGACATGGGGCCTGGAGATATTGCAGACTGGGGACAGGCCCACAGCGGACATGGGGCCTGGAGATATTGCAGACTGGGGACAGGCCCACAGCGGACATGGGGCCTGGAGATATTGCAGACTGGGGACAGGCCCACAGCGGACATGGGGCCTGGAGATATTGCAGACTGGGGACAGGCCCACAGCGGACATGGGGCCTGGAGATATGCAGACTGGGACAGGCCCACAGCGGACATGGGGCCTGGAGATATGCAGACTGGGGACAGGCCCACAGCGGACATGGGGCCTGGAGATATTGCAGACTAAGGAACAGGCCCACAGCGGACATGGGGCCTGGAGATATTGCAGACTGGGGACAGGCCCACAGCGGACATGGGGCCTGGAGATATCGCAGACTGGGGACAGGCCCACAGCGGACATGGGGCCTGGAGATATTGCAGACTGGGGACAGGCCCACAGCGGACATGGGGCCTGGAGATATGGCAGACTGGGGACAGGCCCACAGCGGACATGGGGCCTGGAGATATGGCAGACTGGGCGGCCACAGCGGACATGGGGCCTGGAGATATTGCAGACTGGACGCCACAGCGGATGGGGCCTGGAGATATTGCAGACTGGGGACAGGCCCACAGCGGACATGGGGCCTGGAGATATGGCAGACTGGGGACAGGCCCACAGCGGACATGGGGCCTGGAGATATTGCAGACTGGGGACAGGCCCACAGCGGACATGGGGCCTGGAGATATTGCAGACTGGGGACAGGCCCACAGGTCTAAGACTGTGGATCTACCCATCATTCAAAGCTACACTGCATCCTTATTAATATTGGATAATGGATACCTACATACATACACGTTGAGCAGGGTTCTAATGTTGCGTTTGGTTTTGTTGTTTGGTTTTGTCTTGCTGGTGGAATCTGTAATGTGTTACACAGTAGTAGTAGTACTTTTTTGATTTGTTCTGCTGTAGTGGAATCGGTGATGTGGTATGTGCCTGTGTGCGTGTGCCTGTGTGTGTGTGTGTGTGTGAGTGTGAGTGAGCGCGTACCTGTGTTCACACATCTTTTAAAAGGGCAATCAGTAATTGCTACATCAATTTTTGGACTTATAAATTCATGATATGTACCCATTGATTCTTGAAGAATATAAATGATAAATGCCTGATGACCTTAGTTCAACTGTCGTACCCCGTCAGAACCCAAAATAGAAGCATTTTACTCCAATGTTTGTAAACAAGGTAAATGTAAACAAACACTCCAGCATCAAAACATGGTTAAAAGTATCATTTTGATATCATGGATGGTCAGTCCTTGCATCCATAGCTCTGTCTATGAATTTGAGAGTGGTTACATTTCTCCAGTCCCATCCCTCAGTTGTTAACCGAAACAGGGGCGGGGAGTGTGCTTTGTTATTGTTTCTACTGCTGATTGCCGCTTTAAGAAATATCGCCCTTGTACCTGACGGGTGCCTTCTTCATGTGTTCTCCCACGAAGGTTGCGTTGGTCATGCCCATCAGGGTGTTAGCCAATGAGATGACAGAGAGCAGGTGCTGGGTGGTCACGGCCCGGGACACTCCGTACGTCCCTTTACCCACCATCTCTGACAGGGACAACTTCCTGCCCGTGACCAGGGCCATCTGCCGCAGCAGGGACTCCTAATTGGTACGGAGGAGTTAGAAATCAATTCCAAAAACCCTATCAGCTAATATAATTTGGAAAATCTTCAATAGTAAAAATCTTTACCTTGAAGGTGGGCAGCATGAGAGACATGTGACCTCCGCGGGAGATGAGGCCGAAGGAGATGGGGCAGTGGGGTTTGAGCATGCCCAGTCGGCTCAGACACACCTCGTCCAGCGGTCCGTTGAGGCCCCAGGCGTGGAGACAGGACATGAACAGTTTGGCAGTGTCCATGGTCAGGTTATACTCCAACAGAGACAGAGACTTAGACTTCTCCTCCCGTCTCCTCATCTCCTCCTCTTCCTCCTCATCTTCATCCAGGAGGTGCTCCTTAATGGTCTCCTTCACTGTCTCCTTCACCTGTTGGACATGACAAAATGGCCACCAATCAGTAATAAAAACAATGGAGGCGGGGCTTATTGTACTGTGTTTTTATGAGAAGTATTTCATTTGGACCCTATTGGCACCCTATTCCCCATTTGGCCAAAGCCAGCATGGCACCCTATTCACCATTTGACCAGAGCCAGCATGGCACCCTATTCCCCATTTGGCCAGAGGCAGCATGGCACCCTATTCCCCATTTGGCCAGAGGCAGCATGGCACCCTATTCCCCATTTGGCCAGAGGCAGCATGGCACCCTATTTCCCATTTGGCCAGAGGCAGCATGGCACCCTATTCCCCATTTGGCCAGAGCCAGCATGGCACCCTATTCCCCATTTGGCCAGAGCCAGCATGGCACCCTATTCCCCATTTGGCCAGAGGCAGCATGGCACCCTATTCCCCATTTGGCCAGAGCCAGCATGGCACCCTATTCCCCATTTGGCTAGAGCCAGCATGGCACCCTATTCCCCATTTGGCCAGAGCCAGCATGGCACCCTATTCCCCATTTGGCCAGAGGCAGCATGGCACCCTATTCCCCATTTGGCTAGAGCCAGCATGGCACCCTATTCCCCATTTGGCCAGAGATAGCATGGCACCCTATTCCCCATTTGGCCAGAGCCAGCATGGCACCCTATTCCCCATTTGGCTAGAGCCAGCATGGCACCCTATTCCCCATTTGGCCAGAGCCAGCATGGCACCCTATTCCCCATTTGGCCAGAGCCAGCATGGCACCCTATTCCCCATTTGGCCAGAGCCAGCATGGCACCCTATTCCCCATTTGGCCAGAGGCAGCATGGCACCCTATTCCCCATTTGGCCAGAGCCAGCATGGCACCCTATTCCCCATTTGGCCAGAGCCAGCATGGCACCCTATTACCCATTTGGCCAGAGCCAGCATGGCACCCTATTCCCCATTTGGCCAGAGCCAGCATGGCACCCTATTCCCCATTTGGCCAGAGCCAAAAGTAGTGCACTACAGTGCATAGGGAGCCCCAACCCAACGGGACAAACCATCCATCCCTCCCTCCCTTCACCTGTTTGAAGATCTTGTTGGCCAGGAAGGACCCTCCCTTGTCGGCTGCTCCCTGGGCCTTCTGGAGGGTCTCAGGGGAGACCAGGGTGGGGTTGGGCCGCTGGGCCTCCTCCGTGAGCAGCTGGATAATCACCGCCTCCACGTCGAAGAACAGGACATGCATGTCGGGGTCTGTCAGGTTGGTCTTCATGGCCTGCACCACCAGACTGTTGTTGGAGTACTTCTGCAGGTTGCCCTGGGAAACACAAAGATGGATCGTCCTGAATGAATCGTGAATAATGATGAGTGAGAAAGTTAAGACGCACAAATATCATACCCCCAAGACATGCTAACCTCTCAACATTACAATAACAGGGGAGGTTAGCATTTTTGGGGGGTATGATATTTGTGCGTCTAACTTTCTGACTAATCATTATTCACAATTCATTCAGGATTATCTGTAACCATGGTAGCGTCCACATTAATGGAGAAGTGTTTAGAAACATATTCTATTCTTATTTACAATAAAAGTGACTCCAAAATGACACAATACATTATTTACCATTCATTTCTAGTGGACACAATATATTCTAAAACACAACCAAAACAAACAGCAAATGCATCCAAGAAGTTTGTAGAGTCACAAGATTGATGTAATTATTGCGTGCTAGGAATATGGGACCCAATTCTAAACATATGACTACTTTAATACATACACATAAGTGAATTTGTCCCAATACTTTTGGTCCCCTAAAATGGGGGGGGGGGACTATGTACAACAAGTGTTGTAATTTCTAAACGGTTCACCCGATATGGATGACAGTCTGCACTTGAACCTCACAGTCATCGTATCATTTCAAACCCAAAGTGCTGGAGTACAGAGCCAAAACAACAACACATTTGTCACTATCCCAATACTTTTGGAGCTAACTGTATATATAATCTCTGAACGACAGTCCATCAATCACCATGTTTCCCTTCCATTCACTGTGTCTGGATTCTGGCGCAAAGTTCCCCACTCAATCTCATTGTCCATCTGTTTTAGATTCAGGTTTAGTCAATGTGTGCAACAACCCTGGAATATTTCACATCCAATGTCCCCAAGCCTTTCACTGAATCTCATTCTGTTTTCTAACCACAGCAAGTCTCATTTGCAAACATGCTAATCCCTATTCAATTGTAATTCAATTTGAAGGCCCCCGCACTACACTCTTTGCATAGGAAAGGATGTTTACATAGAAACAAACCAGGTCTGCAATGACTGGACCCTCAGAACATTAGTTTACTTCTTTCTTCCATGAGGAGAGAGAGGGTGAGAGAGAGAGAGGGTAGAGATGGAGAGAAGAGAGAAGAGAAGAGAGAGAAGGAGAGAAGAGAGAGAGTAGAGTAGACGAGAGAAGATATCGAGGATATAGTAGAAGGAGTGCTAGAGGATCGATCCTCCCTCTCTGCTCGCTCATCGGCCTCTCTCGCTCTCTCTCTGCTCTCTCCTGCGTCTCTCTGCTCTCCTCTCCTCTCTCTCTCTCTCTCCGCTCTCTCTCGCTCTCTCCTCTTCTCCTCTCTCTCTCTCTCTCCTCTCTCTCGCTCTCTCTCCTCTCTCTCTCTCCTTCTCTCTCTCCTCTCTCTCTCCTTCTCTCTCTCTCTCTCTCTCTCTCCTCCTCTCTCTCTCTCACATAAGAGACGCTCATCCCTCAACCACCCCCTCACCCCCCCCCTCCCCACCCCCTCACCCCCCAATCCCCTACCTCCCTCCCTATCCTGCATCTGCTCTGTCAATAGACATCAGAGTAAGGTCTATCTCTGACAATTAGCACACTGAGGGTCTGCACTGTCACCGTGCTCAATGGCAGTTAAACAGCTTCAATGGGCGCTGCTGTGTGTGCCTCAGTGATCACAGAGCAGAACAGGGCCAGGCGTGGAGGAGAAAGGATGAGGGACGGAGGGAGGGAGGGAGGGAGGGAGGGACGTAGGGACGGAGGGAGGGACGTGATCGGAGGGATGGAGGAGGGAGGGAGGGGGGATGGAGGGAGGGAGTATGGCCTAACCTTGACCTCCTCTATCGGCTACAGGACGAGAGGACTAACATTTGACTAACTAGTTTACACCTGGCTCTCAGTTTACATTAGACTAACTAGTTTACACCTGGCTCTCAGTTTACATTAGACTAACTAGTTTACACTGGCTCTCAGTTTACATTAGACTAACTAGTTTACACCTGGCTCTCAGTTTACATTAGACTAACTAGTTTACACCTGGCTCTCAGTTTACATTAGACTAACTAGTTTACACCTGGCTCTCAGTTTACATTAGACTAACTAGTTTACACCTGGCTCTCAGTTTACATTAGACTAACTAGTTTACACCTGGCTCTCAGTTTAACATTAGACTAACTAGTTTACACCTGGCTCTCAGTTTTACATTAGAACTAACTAGTTTACCACCTGGCTCTCAGTTTACATTAGACTAACTAGTTTACACCTGGCTCTCAGTTTACATTAGACTAACTAGTTTACACCTGGCTCTCAGTTTTACATTAGACTAACTAGTTTACACCTGGCTCTCAGTTTTACATTAGACTAACTAGTTTACACCTGGCCTCTCAGTTTACATTAGACTAACTAGTTTACACCTGGCTCTCAGTTTACATTAGACTAACTAGTTTACACCTGGCTCTCAGTTACATTAGACTAACTAGTTTACACCTGGCTCTCAGTTACATTAGACTAACTAGTTTACCACCTGGCTCTCAGTTTACATTAGACTAACTAGTTTACACTGGCTCTCAGTTTACATTAGACAAACTAGTTTACACACCTGGCTCTCAGTTTACATTTGACTAACTAGTTTACACCTGGCTCTCAGTTTACATTAGACTAACTAGTTTACACCTGGCTCTCAGTTTACATTTGACTAACTAGTTTACACCTGGCTCTCAGTTTACATTTCACTAACTAGTTTACACCAGGCTCTCAGTTTACATTTGACTAACTAGTTTACAACTGGCTCTCAATTTACATTTGACTAACTAGTTTACAACAGGCTCTGAATGAACATTTGACTAACTAGTTTACACCTGGCTCTCAGTTTACATTTGACTAACTAGTTTACAACTGGCTCTCAATTTACATTTGACTAACTAGTTTACACCAGGCTCTGAATGAACATTTGACTAACTAGTTTATACCTGGCTCTCAGTTTACATTTGACTAACTAGTTTACACCAGGCTCTCAGTTTACATTTGACTAACTAGTTTACACCTGGCTCTCAGTGAACATTTGACTAACTAGTTTACACCTGGCTCTCAGTGAAGAATTATGAGACTTGAACATACAATAGCACATTGGTTTGTTATGGGACTTGAACATACAATAGCACATTGGTTTGTTATGGGACTTGAACATACAATAGCACATTGTACGATTGTGATATACATGGTATATGAACAGTCCTCCAAAACTATGTTTTTATGAGTAGCAAAATGTGTGTTACAGTAATAGTGTTGATTTGAATGAGAAGTCAACGTGGGGGTGTGTGTTATAGGTCATTACTACAAGTTATAACCAGGCCGCTGTCTGACCGACTTTACCAGAGAGAAGAGACTCCTAAAACCCAACGCCCACGCCCACGTACGTACACACACACACACACACCCCAGCAGAGAGAAGCGCAGCGGCGTGAGGACAGGTCCAGTCCAGCTCCTTTGTCTGTCTGGCATTGGAGCCATCAGCTTTACTGTCTGTTTGATGAGGGAACAGCGACTCAAAAGACACAGACCGTGCGCCGCGCTCAATTGTTCGACAGATGTCTGCTTCTCCAGGCTCCGAGTCACACTCGATAACGAGCCGTGAGACGCCTGTGTGTGTGTGTGTGTGTGTGTGGGAAGCCCCAGCCCATGGCTTCCCTGTTCAGTAATTAGCCTGTATAGTGTCCTGACTGATGGTGAGCCATTGCACCTGCACCTGGTGACACACACACACACACACACACACACACACACACACACACACACACACACACACACACACACACACACACACACACACAACACCGCAGAGGTTGCATAAATATCCGTAGACATTAAAGATATGTCTTCAGAATTCAATGTGTTCTGCAGCAGCAGTCCTGATATGCTCTGATCAGTGTAGCTTAATGAATTAGGCTGTCTTTGAACCTCTCATTTATGATGAGAGACTTCTATCAGCCAGTGGCGTAGTTTCGGTGGAGGAAGGCTGCCCTCTACAGGATGACGGCTGCTAAAACTACAAGACAAAGGGACCCTTCCCCTCCCTCCATCTTCCCCTAACCCTTGTCTACCTCCCTCTCTCTCCCCCTCCCTCCAGCCCACTCCCTCTCTCTCAGGACACAACTAGGCTGCAAATGGACTCCGTTGCCCCCAGTCAAAGCCAGATGAGGAGGAGAAGAGCAGAAAACATCCCCCTTCTCCTCTCCTCTCCTCCATCCATCCTTCTATCATAGCTGAAGCTGCAGTGGTTCATCTTTCTATCGACCCACCATCCACACACACACACACACACACACACACACCTATTGGCCACCAGGGAACCAGCCCGGGAATCAGGTGGATCCCTAACATCTGTGAGGCCACCAGAGAACCAGCCCGGGAATCAGATGGATCTCTAACATCTGTGAGGCCACCAGGGAACCAGGCCTAATTCCCAAATCACATTGGATCGACAGGAGAGCAGAGTGGAGATAGGACGGTCACCAGAATAACAGCAGATAATTCAAATCACAGAATCACAGAGCCAGTTGGCCTCAAAGGCCAGGGAAGGAGCAGGGAGCATTTCATATGACTTCTATTAAACTCTCCCCCTCCCCTGGACTACATCTAGAGGTAGTGGACTGGAGAGTCTGCATAGCAACCCACCCACCACACCACACCACCTGACTGTCTGACCGGCTGGCTGGCTGGCTGGCTGGACCACTGGATAAGGAGAGAAGTCAAAGAATAAAAGAGAGAGGAAGACTGGTATAGTGCATTATCATAGTGGATCATTTTCAAAGAGGAAAATTGGAATTGGAATTACAGTTTACTTCCAGAAATGGACAGAATTGAAAATGGAATTGACCCCAACCGTCATATTGAAATATACAATCATATTGACCAATTGAACAGTCACAGAGTAAACACGGGAACATCTGGATAGTGCTACAGGCCAAGAGACTGCAAATGAGAGAGAACTAAGCTA